TTTTGAGTTAGTGCTTGATGTATGAAAACATCACACACACACTGACACTATTCAGGGACGGACTCCTGCAGATGGCACAGTCTTATTGATTCAAAACTGTCTTACTGAATTCATAGCAAATGAAAATTATGTTGGTGCATTTGAACTTTCTCTTCTAGCTGAAGGCAAAGATATGCACATGCTCTATTCCTGTGCAGGACATCTCCTTTGAACCATCTACCCAGCTTGTCTCCTATCTGATACTCCTATTTCACAGTTTTCTCTCCACCACTGAAAACCTTAGAAAGAAAACTCTTTCAGAACCAGATCCACTGTAAACAGGGGCAGCACACAGTGAGACATCAAGCATTCACTTCACTGTATACAGAAATAGATCATAATTTAGAATCAGCTAGACTAGTTATTCCAATATAATCAAAACTCTGCTAGAGTTGCCCAGTTATCTTGGTGTGGCATGAGGCCACGCTGACCCTGACAGGCACAGTATCGCTCACCCCTGCTTCTCCTGATAACCCCATGCACGTTCCTGCTACTTCCTTCTCTGATCCAACTGAATATTTTAATCTTCTGGGTTGTTTTTTTTTCCCACAGGTTTACCTCTCAGAGAGATCAGCAAGCAGGAAAAAGGCATGACCATCCCTTTGGGCAGCAAGGTATTCTTAGAAGAGTTAAAACTACACCTTTCACTGAAGTGACTAAGGCAGCCATAAATTTACACTCTAAATGCAAGATGTTACATGTTTAGTGGCTTAGGTCACTGAAAAGATACAAGCCTAAATTAGTAGAATGTAACTCATTAAATTATTTTTTTCTAGCTGTTATCTAGAGTCAGGGCCCAGGCATTTTTAGGTTTAAAGTAATTTTTGCATGGACAATTTTTTAAGACTGAAAACCAGTGACTTTGAGCATTTCTGGGTTTTGTCGTGGACAATGACAAATGGCAGTGATATTTTGCAGTAAATGCTGCAAGGAGCGTTAGTTCATCGGAAACATTAATTTTCCTTCTAGCCAAACTTCAAACAAAGTATCACTTTCTCTGCACTGAATACTAAATTTGGCTCATATTCCATTTCTGAATGATATGTATGGAGCACTAAAAAGTGCGGGATAGTAATTTTTTTCTGAAATGGTAGAATTATAAATTTCTTAGCAAAATACAAATATAGCAAAAATTTTTCTTATTTTTGTTTTCTCAATTGTTGGTCTTATCTCATAGCTTAATAACAAATGATCTGGTAATGTTGTCAAGAGCAGTGTGGCCAGCAGGTCAAGGGAGGTGACTCTCCCCCTCTACTCTGCTCTTGTGAGACCCCCCCTGCAGTGCTGTGTCCAGCTCTGAGGGCACCAACATCACAAAGACACGGATCTGCTCGAGCAGCTCCAGAGGAGGCCACAAAGATGCTCTGGGGGCTGGAGCACCCCCCTGTGAGGACAGGCTGAGAGAGTTGGGGGGGTTCAGCTGGAGAAGAGAAGGCTCCAGGGAGAGCTTACAGCGGCATCCCAGTGCTTAAAGGGGGCTACAGGAAAGCTGGGGAGGGACTCCTGATCAGGGGGTGTAGGGATAGGACAAAGGGTAGTGGTTTTAAACTGAAAGAGGGCAGATTTAGATTAGATCTAAGGAAGAAATTCTTCCCTGTGAGGGTGGTGGGACACTGGCACAGGCTGCCCAGAGAAGCTGTGGCTGCCCCCTCCCTGGCAGTGTTCAAGGCCAGGTTGGACGGGGCTTTGGGCAACCTGGGCTAGTGGAAGGTGTCCCTGCCCATGGCAGGGGGCTGGAACTAGATGATCTCTAAAATCTCTTCCAACCCAAACCATTTTATGATTCTATGATAATGTATTAGAGAACTCTGCAAGTTTTGAATTTTTTTAAAAAGAAAAATGTCCCTGATCATCTTTAGATTTCCAAATACACACAGGAAACAGAAACAGGGAATGGAGAAAGGTCATGTCTAAATTACACCACACAACATATATTCTCTTCTTTCATTTCATTCTTTCTGCCTGGTGGCCGTGTAACAACCTTGCTTGCAGAAACCATCCAGAGACACTGCTTCTCCTGGGTAAGAAGCTACTAGCGTTACAGGAGCACATTTGCACGGAAATCTCCTTGTTCAGCACAGTCCCTAGTAAAATTCCACTGAAGCCTCAAATACCCATGACTTCTGCAGAGGCATAATGCTCGAAGCATAGCTACTTTCTCAAAGATGCTTCACTTCTTCTATACCTGTGGTTCACTTATCTCTAATAAAGGCATTTTGACTCCTTTCATTCTGTAGTTTCCTCCAAGTTACACTGTACTTGTACCAAAATGCTTCAAGATCAGCTTTAGCTTGTGTTCAAATACCTGAATGGACCTGGTACATTTACCTCTCCAGTAAAGAACAGCAAGAACTTCTTCCTTTCTGAGCTATACACAGCCTAACAACACATATGGCAAAGTACTGGGAAAGAACCCCATAAGATTTTTGAAGAAGCCTTGACAAGTACAGAGGACATTGCTTCATGCAGTGCCCAAATGTTTCCACACTGTTAGGAGTTCCTGGAGCTTTTTATGAAGGGTTACTGAGTAGATAAGACAGCAGAGCGGAGCTATGTAAAGAAAATATCTGCATAGTGATACAGAAAGCCCACAATGAAAAGGACAAGCTGTGTCCCAAGGTCTCACAGCACGCAAACAGCCTGTGGCCTGCTTCAGGGACACCTAATTCAAAATAAGCAGCTATATGCTTCATAAAATTCAGATTGCATTCACCCAGATTATTTTAGATCCACGGGATCTGGGCGGTAAGGCTAAAGTAGAGTTTAGAGATGTTTCACTTAAGGACGTGCTTTTTCACACCAGCTCTCTTCTTTTTGGGGTAGTCTCCTTTCTATGTAGAGTGAGCCCAAGTTGAACCAGAGAAAGAAGGGTAATTTTAAGAATGCACTGGCAAATCATCTCGACTGTTGCCCGATTCCAAATTAGCTATGGAGATCATCCTGCCCCGAAACAGCCCTGCAACATGTACTGTTCCCTTTTAATAAAATTGCTCATAGCAGCTTACACGTGAGGAGATTTCTTCTCAGTTCCTTAAGAGACTTGTCACAAGCCTTCCTCATTCTCATTATAGATATGTAATGCAAAGTGCTAAACAAAGGGATGATTGATGTAAGCATCAAGCCAAGATCTTTCAGTTCAAGCTAGTCTTTTGATGCTCTATTTTATCTGAAGCACTTTTCAATTACAAGTGGATTACAAGAATAGCTTTCCCCATCTAATTTTTATTAGTTTTATCACTTGTACTTGGCGTAGGCTCTCTTTTGCAGCTAAAGGTCATTATCTTTAATTAAATAATAACTTTCACATTGTTCTTGAGTAACGTTGTCTGTAAGCCTGGAGAAATTATATAAATTATATAAAGCACCCTGACTCTACAGGCTGCAATTAGTAGAATTTTTGCCACTAACTTGAAATCTTAGTGATTTCTTGAAACTTGTAATCTTAGCCCCGTTTGTCTAAATCATCTCTTCAGCAGAAGAGTAGTTAAGCAGTCAAAGTCTTCAGCAAAACACCAAAGAACATGCTCAAGAACAAGCATAAGCATTTTACTGAAGTTAGGCCATTTTCAGTCATTTTATATTAGTTTCCCTTCAGCTTCCAGTTTTTATTTCCTGAAGATGTTTCAAACTTGGGTTTAATTTTAAAAGGCCAGCTGATTTAAAAAGAATTCCCAGTGCAACTGGGTTGGCTGGCATATTTTCCTGTTTGTATGTGGCACAGAGCTGCTCAGTTAAATCAGCTTTTTCAGTCTTTCTTGCCAGCTGCCATTGACATGATAGATAAAAGGCTTTTAAGTGGGTAGTGAAGTTTTCATTACAGAGCAAAAAACTAAAGAGGTCCTATGTGCTATTGTCATTGACGGAGTCACCAGTCAGCTCCCTTCCTCCTCTAGTTTCAACATGTTTTCCTTGAACCTGATCGCTGAATGTGACAACAGACTGTATGAAAGCATCACTGACCACACTGATGATTCACTGATGGGAAGGATTTTTCTTTTAATGGTAGTTTCCTATAAATAAAGAAAATGTATTTTCTCAGAATCTCACAATTTTGTAATTCAAAGTATAGATCTGTAAACTGCTCATTGAAGGCTGAGAAAGTTTGTCTTCCTCTCAGAAGGGATTAAAACAGATCTGAGTTATCCCACAGGCTGGAGAACAAAGTGTACTGCATAAGTCTCACTGTGTTCAGTAAAAAGAAAAGAACAAAATTACTCATACCACAGCCTTGTGCCCTGGGTCTGAGGCAAATGTGATGGACAATCCAGGGTTTTTTTGACTGCTTCAATAAAATGAGAGAAAATAAAATATCCCTTATTCAGATTGAACTGTTTAAATGTGTTTGATTTCCCTTATTGCTACACGTTGCTCTTCTGCCAGGTCCTACCCACTCACTAAACATCTGGAAGAACCACAGTCACTATAGGACATAGACACACGGGGAAAAACAAAAATGAAGAGGTAATAGCAGAAGACTTGATGGATGACCAGTACAGGTGAGCAGGAGTGAGATCTCCCCACTCTAACTGCTCACACCTTGAGCTAAGTGGTACCTATCTACCATTTTGAGGAAGGGCTGGGGTGGGAAAATCAGAATTAACTGAAGGGGCACACTCTGCATTGGAAGTATTGCATAAGAGTCTACAGCCCTGAGGACCAACACGCTCATTTTCAGTAGCCACTGCTCCCTGAAGCAAGAAAACCAAGGGCATGGTTCTGCCTCCAGCGGGATCCAGGTCCTGCAGGACTCATGTCTCAGCAGGAATTGGAAACAAGGGCAAGGTTTTGCTGCCTCAGCAAAGGCAGAGACCCCCTGCCAGCTCCTGCCGGCTTCTGTCATCAGAACAGAAGCCTTGACTGCTCCAGGAAGCAAACTTTGCTCAGTTGCTATCTAGAAAATGCCAGCAAGCTGCTGCATGCCACTATCCCACAGATAGTAGATCACGGTCGTCCTTGGTACCAGGAAAAAAAAAAAAAAGTTATCACTGCACTTCAGAATAAATCAGAAGAGTGCCTCTTTACTCAGTTGAGATCAGAACTGTCGCAAGGTTTTTACTGAGAAAATTATACAGCAAGAGGAAAGGTGAATGTGCTGGTGTGCTGTCTCAAGAAACTGCTGTTTACATGTAGGTTAGTTAAAGATGCAAGGCTAAACAATTCAGTGGAAAACTCCACCTATGAGAGTATTCCCTGTTAGCAAAGGAGATGTTTGGAAATTAAGGGCAAAGACAGGTCAGTACAAATGCAATCTGCACGATGGGATGCTGGGCTTTTCTCAGATGACTGCAGCACACAGGTAGATCAGATGGTGCCAAAGTACAGGGCAGCTGGGGCCAGAAGACAACTAAAATTAAATTTTAAAATGGAAAATTATTTGGGGAATTAAAATAAACCACTATGCAACAGTGGAGTTTAGAGGAAGGCAGACCAGGAAACTTTCAGTGAGTTTCCAAGATTCACTGAGAGCTGAAATACCAACCCTGTTCAGCATTTTTGACAGCTTCCACTACAGTTTGCTCTTAGGGATGTCCGAGTCCACCAAGTGTTGCCAGAAAAAGGCCTGTATCCTGCGCCATGCATCTTCTTGGGCTTTGGCATGCTCCCTCCATTGCCCTCCCCAAAGTACAAACGCCCCAATCGCCCTGTGGATCGAAGCCTGGCACAAAGGCAAGTATGGTGGCTCCAAGAGGTGCCCTGCTCCAGAATAGGAGCAAAACTCAACTTCCCGCCCGTGCTGCTGAAGGCGCTGAACAGCATCCTGGCAATAGAGGTCACTTTTCCAGTTCTTGTCATCCAGTCCCGAGAGGAAGAGGAACTTGGCCAAGGACCTCTCCACGGGAATGCGACAACCCCAAGTTGCTGGGTCCCTGTGATCATCCAGGACATCTGAAAAATCTATTAGGCCAGACTCTTCACTGGTCTTCATCCTCCCCAAATCATATGGGTGGGCAGGAATAGTGAAGCCATCCCCCTGCAGGGGAATGAAAGAATTAAAACTACTTCCAGATATGCTGACTGCTGCCTTGATGCCAGGTAGAAACGTGGCCATGGAAAGGGCTAGATCAGCTCCTTTAGACAAGCCCAGAACGCCAATCCCAGTGTCTTTCACCTGAAACACAGTTATGAAAACAACCATTACCAACAACTCCTCATTTCCTGGGCTAACATAACGTCTCCAGTTCTGCTTCCTCACTGCTCATCCAACTAAGACTACCCATTTTTTAGCCCTTCCCTCTCTCTGTTCAGGTTATATCACTCCCTTATCTATACCTTTGCTGAGCCTCCACAAGAGTGACTTTGAATTCTATAGCTCCTCAACACTTCTCCTCCTGTAACACTTTTTCTTCCCGGTGACCTCTGTAGACAAAGCCTCTTTGCTCCCTCCACATCCTGGTTAGACACTTGCTCTCAGTATTGTATCTTTTACTGTTCTGGTCTTCAAACCCCCACAATCTTCTATCCTCAGGTTCCCTTTGGAAACCCACTTTTTCATAGGTTTACTTGCACTGATTTTCTTTGAAGCCATTGGTTTTTGATACTCCCCTACAGCTGATCTTCTCTTTTGTCTCACAACACATAAGGTTCATTACACCTGAGGCTGAGTAAGCTCAATAACTGTTTAAATCAACTAACCTATAGTGAAAGCTCTTCACACCAAATTAATTTTGTAATGAGTCTTGTAAAATACTCTGTAAGTTTCAGAGTTCTATGAGGAACAAGACAAACTAGCAAGGCTGAATTCTGCTCTCACGCTGGCTACGTGTCCACGTGCTAGAAAAAAAACCCCTTTGTGAAATTAATACCACATTAAGTAGCATTCCATTCAAAGTTTAAATGCTGCTTGATTTCACTTGGTCTCTTTTGGTTTAAGTATGATGATATATTGCTATAAAGTATCTTTCCCATCCCACACACTTGTGCAAATACAGTCCTAGCTTCTTAAGACTCTCCAGTGCTACAGCTGTAAGGGATCCTGTTGTTAGTGTTTTATTACTATTTTGTGAAACTTACTCAGAATCAAAAGCCTGTAACATCTCAAAAATTTAAAAAGTCATTGGATTTTTTCTCTTCTAAAATCTTGCAAGATGCAAAAGTAGAGGAAAAAAAAATTTAGATTTCTTGCTTAAGCAGTTTTGTGCTTCTAGTCCAGGAACTGCTTTGATTTAATCTTACACAAGTACTGGTTTGCAAAACAGTCTGTGGACTGTTGTAAGATACTGTACAAAACCAGTTATCCAACTACTTGCAAAATTCAAGTTGAGGCACATGCTCTTCCATCTCTCAGATATGTTGTCTTTCAGACAATGCTGTCTAACATCTCAGAAACTTAGTTGCATTCAGTGACATATAGAATTCCAATTAGAAAACTGGAAAATAGTTTCCAACAGGAAGAGCACCATCATTTGTCTCTTACCTGCTGCTGCTTCCGCAAAAAGTTCACAGCTTCCTCAAAATAGCCCAGTTCAAGAATCTCTGGCATAGTAGGGAGATCTTCAAAGGCCATGTAAGCAAGAGCCAGAGTCACGAAGCCTCTGCTAGCCAGGAGACTTGCTCTGTATTCAATAAGACCTCCTCCAGATCCATACAAATCGATAAGTCCAGGAAAGGGACCAGGTCCTGCAATGAAATGTATGTATATATATACTCAAGAAGAAAAGTTTCTACAGTTGTCCTTTCAGTAGTGCCCCTTCAGCACACATCAGGACAAGTAGATATCAGAAGAAAATCATCCTCTGAAGCTTTCCACAGAGGCTGTCATTCTCAGGCACATACACAGTCACTGTAAGGACACCAATTTGGCTATTTCCTCTCTGTCTTAGGAAACCATTATAGGAAGTTCACATGTCAGGCATACTTCTCCCACCATGAATTTCAACTGACATTGGCCTAGATGTTCTCAGGCCATTGGGGATCGACGAACAAACAACATCTCTGCATGAGCTGTGCTTCTTCAGGAACTGTGCTAGCAGGTGCTAGCAGGTTTTCCAGGAATTGTGAAATGCACCCACAAAGGCCAGCACTGACCTATGCCAATTCAGGCTTCAGTATGATCTGTGTGACTACCCCTGGGCTTCTCGGCTCTCCTCAGAACAGCACCTGCAAGGGACTTTTTATTCACTACAGAGCAAGATATCAAGTGCTGCTCAAGGAACATGACCAGGGCTCAGAGCAGCTTTACACAGGATCCAGTCGCAGCACTGTCTCTGTACAGAGCTGCGGAATATGACACCTGTTTAATTAAAGAACTTGCTCTTCTCATTTGTCTGTCATCTTCCCAAGTACACTGTGCAGTTGAGCTGCTTAACCAGGTAGGGACTTTCCTTAGCCAACGAGAGACACAGAGAAAATCCAGAGCCTGTAGGAAGCCGTGTGGCAGCTGCTGGAACTGCCTAGGCTGGCTGCAGCCCACATCCAGCGGTCCCACCGCGCCTCCTCACTCCACGAACAGAGCTGTCACGCCACGCAGCTCTGCCAAAGACCAGCGGCCTCGTTGTCCTGTCAGACAGAGCTAAGAAATAAACACAGTTTTCCCCAGAGCTCTCGGTGCAGGAGAGGTCCAGCCCCCCTTCAGCTAGAAAAGACACCTCGTGTTACCTACCAGTGCTGCCCTCCCGCACCCCCCTGCCTTGCCACTTGACCCGCCCGGGCAAAGCCTGCTCCTCCCTGCTCTGGTGTGGGGACCCAAGTAGCTGGGCCAAGCACAGGCCGAGGGAACCATGAGCTGAGACTGAGGCTCTGGACTGGGTTGCCGAGTGCATTCAGGGGCCACGGGGCACAACACGTGGTGTAAGTCACACCTGGCAAGCCAGAAGGGAATTAAAACTCACCAGGAGGGAGGAAGAGGGTTGCTTTCAGACGACCTTCTCTGACTGAAATCCTCTTCACTCCCTCTCCTAAAAACCATCGTTCATTGGTGCATTTTCCCAGCAAGCGGCTCATGTCCCCATGGCCCTCGTACACTTCAAAGTCCACAGAGAAAGGGGTCAGGACGTTCCTCTTGGCCAGCCGCTTGTAGGGCGCGTTAGACTGCAGAGACCAGAGCAGCCCCATCGGCTCCACGCCCGAATAGCTGCCGCCCAGCGCCGGGCAGCGGCTCAGGTCCAGCTCCCCGCTGCTCCCCGCTCTGTACCGGGCGTGGGCTTGGAAAAGCTCCCCGCTCTCGTCCAGCAGGCTGGCTCGGAGGGTGACCGCCTGCCGCGGCAGGAGACCGGCCACACGGATCTGCACGGGGTCGTCGAACAGACAGCGGGGGGAAGGCAGAACCGCCACCTGCACCGCCATCCCGGCTCTGCCGGCGGGGAGACGAGCTGCCCTTTTGGGGTGAGACACGGGCTCCGTGCAACAGGACCGCCAGCACTCTGCCTCTTCCCCAGCTTAAAACCTCTGCCCAAAGTCCAGGAGGAACCACCGTGACTGTTTCCTTTATTGGGCAAGCACGGGCTGCTGGGAGACGTAGTTCAGAGCATGCCTCCAGCCAGAGGCTAGCCCGGGAGTGGCACCGACACACGTCCGCTTGCACAGACACAAGCTGCCATGGGGCCCTGGCCTGGGTCCTACTCTGCGTTACAGAGAGAGACTAAATCAAAAACCCCAAAGTCAGAAAAAGAGGTGTTCCAATCGTCTTTCCCCCCGACTGTGGGAAAGTCCCGATTTGACTGCAGAACTGGCTTGGGTGCCTTTGCCAAGGCACACTGAACACAAACAAGCTGGAAAGCCTGAAGTAATGTGACATCTTTATCAAGCCATGAAACAAAGCCTGCCCTTGAGTTTTCAGCAATTTTTAGACAAGCGTCACACGTAAGATGATGCTTTAACTATGTTTCTTTAAAAATCAAAAGAAACAAAGTAAAAGAACTCTTTATCTTTTTCTTCAACAATAATCAACCTTGTTTAAAGGGTATCTGCATTTTTCTAATACTGAGAAAATAAATTTCCCCCCATATCACTAATTTTCTAAGGAGCTATTTGAAGATTTGACCATAAATACCAACTTTTGGGTTTCATAAACAATACTACATATTTGCAGCATTCAAGGATTTAATAGCTTTTTAATCCTACCCTGCGAGTCTCAGACATGTGAGTAGTCTCATCCCGTTCTGTGGAAATACACATGGGAATTCAGGCTGCAGAAATAGGCTCCTGGTTCACACAACTCACCTGACCATGTGTTAGGCAACAATTAATGGCAAAGGAATGAAAAATTCAATGAGCCTGCAAGCTGTATAATCACCCATCATGCCACGAGACCACAGGTGATTTGCAGATTGACCGTGGATCTGTCAAAGCAACCCTAAAATCCCAGCCCAAGAAGTAAGGGAATGCAGCTACATTTAAATACAATAGTGGAAAGAAATAAAAACCATCAATAAAAACATGTAGCTTAAGATGAAAAATAGCCATCATTGACTTTTGCATGTCCTCCTAGATGTCCCCCACCCATCACATCATTTGAAAAAAATGTAAGAAATCAGTACAGAAATAAGCTTTTAAACTGACCATTTATTGCAGAAGTTGTAATTTCTCACCATTAAACACCACAGCCACTGAACTTAGTGAATTACACCCGGACAGGACTTCTGCCTGAAGCAGAATGCAGGTGTCGGACTGACACAGCCTGATGCACAGCTGGGTGGCACAGCAGATTCTTCCTTGACCGCTTGGATTGTTATGAAAACAATCTGTAGATCTGAACAATCGTGGCTTCTGTTTTGGGATTTCCAAAACCTGGATGGCCTCTCTTCCAATTTTATTTTGCTCATCGTCACCGAAACAACATGCAAAGACCTAAAAATGCTATTATCGAACCTTCTGATTACAAGCCAAAAAATCTGGCTGATTGATCTAGACTCCAAAATCAAGCAAAATAGCCACGATCTGTTGACACACATTGTTGAGGATAATTTAACGTTCAGTTCTTTTCACTTGCATCATGTTTGTACTCCAGTCACAGATGCTGATGACTGTATCCTGTCAGAGAGAGGGATCACAAGCTTGAGTCTTCCACCTCTGCTATAACACTTTCATGGCCTTTGTGAGACAATCTAGGAGTTGGTAATAGCTGTACTTAAGGTCATATTCCATGTCATACCAATAATTCACTGAGGAGACAAGAAAAAGGAAGAACATTTCTAAGGCTAGCATGTAATGATTTACAAACGTGTTCATAGACTGCTTTACACAGTTCAACTAGTGCAAGCTTTTCCTTACTAACAACTGAACTTTGGAATGAACAAATTTTTGGCTACAGTCAAAAAATTCATAAGCAAACATTAGAGTTCTTTAATAGCGCTGCCAATGCAACTCTGTCTTAACCTAAACCAGCTCCTCTTCAGACTCTACACTGGGGATTCCCTGAAGCAGAAGCTGGCAAAACGTTTAGAAACAGAAAATGTATGCTTCTATTTAGACCAAAAATACCAAATACACTACAAAGTAAGTTTAATATCGTGATAGGAACCTTGCTTCCTCTGAGTGTGTAAAGGATGGCAAATTCACCACTACTTCACAATGGTCATCAATTAGACAGTGCTTTAATTCTGCATGTCATTTTAATTTTGGTGTAAATCTCCTGGAAAAAGTAAACCAAGCAGTATAATATTGTACCAATGGTCCCTGGAGGAGGATATACTCTAGCTTCAGACATCCACTGGACCAGACCCAGAGAAAGTTGATTTTTCAAGTGTATACAGACTGTAGGGCAGTTAGCAGACTAAACGCTAAATAAACTCATTGACTCTTTAGCACTCCTGATAGAGGAAAAGGAGAGTGGCTGGGGACTTGCAACAGGAAACAGCTCTACTTCTTCTAAAAAATCTTTAAGGACTGATGCAGCAGTACTGGGAAAAGAGAATCAGAAATACTGCTTTACTGCTAGCTTGTCTTGTTATCACAGTATCGTAAGTACTAAAAAAAAAAAAAAAAAAGGGCTTGCAATATTTGCAGTGTTACACAAATACTAATGTTATGTTGTTCAAAATATTGTATTTACTCTTCCTGGGCAGACAGGAATAATTCCAGGTAAAGTCAGCAAAAAGCTCTTCCTCAAACCTTGCAAAACTTATACAACATAACAATAATACTTTGCACCATCCCCACCCCTCCACCTCCACCAAATGAGCAATGTTTGACATTCTGGAACTCTCATGGGGAAGGGAAAAAAAGAGATAGAGATGGTAAATCCTACAGAGAAAGAGAAGACAAGACTTTTGATAAGTGCAGGGGAACAGTAACACAAGCACAGGCTTATCAGCAAGGTAGGAGACTGGGTTGGAGCAGATCCCAGCTCACACAACAGAGCGACTTCCACATTTTGTGTACATCCATGCCTAAAACTCATATACTTTCTGGTTTCCTTTTCTTCCTTCAGATCCTTTTTTGCTGATGTGATAATGGCACACACAACATGCAGATTCTTTGTGAAAGGTATGTAGGTGACCAATTTGCAGTTAGCAGGTTAGGCAGACAATCTGCTTAGGCTCCATGTTATGAACAGCAACTGGATCACGATCACTGAATTAGCTATCCTCCTCCAGACTTGACAACTAGACAGACTTTTCCTTCAGCTACCTCCCTAGCACTTGTCAATAATGCTATCAATTATAAGCAAAACAGACTGCAAGAAGGCAGCCCCATGGCATCTGACAAGATTATTATTTCCTCCCGAGGAGAGGTAGATGATCTTGAAGGGACCTTTGGTCCCAGTTATGCTTTGCTGTGAGATATCTAGCTGCACACCCACCACGGTTCAAAAACACATCTGGAAATACTGTTTATTTTACCTGCTATACAGCCATGTGATTGCTGAACATGGTGGAACCAGAGAGAAGGCAGGTATAACATCTCACCAGCTCTCACTGTACACTGCAAAGGTTTTGCCTGAGCATACTCTGGATACTGTTCCAGATCTGGGTTCAAGGGGTCCAGGGGGATCCAGGGCACCTAAAAGCAAAAGAGTGTATATATATATGGTAATGACTCTAGCAAAAAATTCCAGCAAGCTTCCAGAAAAACAACTGATAACCAAACTTACTAGGTTACAAAACATGTATTTTTCCTAGCAAAACAAGTACAGGTACACAGCTTTCCACATTCAACTGGGAATAGGTCAAGGATGCAAAAATTTGCCTCCTTCAGTGAAGCATCTCTAATTAGGGAAAAGATTAAATGTCAGCCATGAAATTTCAGTCTCGTGGCATACTTTCACAACACCTCTGGCCCCTTAAAGTCACTTGTTCCTCCTACATTCAGTACTTGAGTATTTTATCTACACCACTCTTTTTAGAAACTCCTTTCTTTTTCTAAAGCTCTCTGGTCTAATTTTATTCCCAGCAGCTAAAACCTCACTTCCTACTGGGAAATCCCTCTTGACTGCATTCAATTCTTCTACGCCCTACAGAGTTACAAACTTCAGCACTCCACCTCACTGTGTTACAGGAATGCTTCTGTGAGATTCCATGAGCACTACTCTGGAAAGAGAGAAAAAGCCCCAGCTCAAGTTCAAGTGTAGCATTAGTCACACATTGCAGAGGCAAACGAGGAAAGATTAGATACAAAAGGCTGCTGAGATTTTGTAAAGTGCCTCCAGATCTACACATTTTAATCAAATAAATATTGCTGCTATGAAGAAAACACAATTTATTCATTGAGACAGATATGTTTAATTGCACTGGATGAAACTGCTGTAGAGCAAAATCTAGCCCTGAGGGGTGGAAAGAAAATTAATGCAGAGGAGTCTATTTCAGCCTTAATGAAATCAGTGCCTTTATAGTTGATTCATTTAAAAGCCCTTTACTGGATCTATTTAAGTTTGGTGCAAGGAAGACCATTTATGATATCAATGGTTTCAGGTGAGCTGTAAAAATCTTTTCTGGAAGCTGGGTATCCTTGATGAATAGTAAGATACAAGTGAAATATCTGGGCATTCTCTTTACAGTAACAAAGGATTTCTAAATATCAATAAATATGCTGAGTTTGAGGGCTCAGCAATGCCCCAAACTATCTTTATTGTATTGATTGTGTTCTTCATGCACTTTTTACCTTATCAGCACTCTTCTCATCCACAATTTTAAATGAGCCATCTTCTGATACCTGGTAGGTTGCTGGCTGATAGAGCTCTGGAACCACAGAAAGAATTAAATGACACAACTGCAAGTAGTACTCAGAGAAACTAATGGCAGAGCATGTCACACTTTCACCAAGTAAAAGAAAAATTAAGACAAAACCATTTTCAACTTACTGTCCTCACTCTACTTCCCTTTGGTCTTTTCGTATTTTATCCAGTTTCTTAAGTATATTTTATTTTTTAAGTCAGTCTAAATATTGAACTGCCATCCTATTTGGAATTCCAACCTCCTTTCTTCACAGGAATTATTTATCTTCAAAACCCATTTTACTCCTGGTTCTATTTTGTTCCAGTAACTGTCTTGTTTCCCTTCTGGAAGACATTAATGCATCCCTGACTTACACATCATCCTATATTCTGGCATTTCTTCTTAGGTCAGTCTAGCAAGATAGGACTCACAACAGTTATGAGTGACTTGTGGCCAGCCTTTCACTTCTAATTTTATCTGAGGGAGCTCATCAACTGTTTCAGATACTGCGGGTTGCTTTTCTTTCACTGCTTCACCACTCAAGCCCTCCCTTGAGAGAGTTTCTCTCCATTAACCTGATGTTCAAAAAGAACGAGTCATCTTTTTACTACAAACTACAAAATGTAAGCATCATTTCTGTTCAATGCTTTAACAGTAGCTTGTTTTACAAAGCATGACTCCTATGACATACATGTCTTTCATACATTCACATACATATGACATCGCCTCTCTGTGAAGAAAAGCTGAGATAGATAGGGGTGTTCAACCTGGAGAAGAGAAGGCTCTGGGGAAATCTTACTGTGGTCTTTCTATATATAAAGGGGGTTGATAAGAAAGACAGAGAAAGATGTTTTACCAAGGCCTGTAATGACAGGACAAGGGGCAACAGTTTCAAATCAAGGGTAGATTTAGATTGGATATAAGGAAGAAATTTGTTATGATGAGGGTCATGAGACACTGGAACAGGTTCTCCGGAGAGGCTGTGGATGCCCCATCACTGGAAGTGTTCAAGTTATGGAGCTTTGAGCAACCTGATCTAGTGACTGGTACGGAGGATGGACTAGATGATCTTAGAGATCCCCTCCAACCCAAACCATTCTATGATTCTATGATTTCAAGGTTGTAAACAAAATAAAACCAGTATAAATAAAATACTGTATCAACGCACATATCGAGGCAAAATTATATTAGTGTCCTATAGCACTCGGCATTCACTTAATCTGAAGGTTTGAAAGTTATTGAATGGGAAAATAAAGTCTTATTTTAGGAGACATAAAGTTAAGCTGTCCATCTTCTAGATGCCACTGCAATATAACAATCTATTACTGAGAACATAGGAAAGCAACATAAACAGAAAAAGGGGCAATGCAAAATAACGCTGCCATAAGAGTCTCTTTTTTCATTTCTCGAGTTTTCAGAGATTCAGTTTGTAACTTGAATATTTCATTAAATTACAACTTATTTGTCAGCTTCCTGGCTTTTTTTCTAGAGAAAAGAACAAGCAGGCAGAATCCAAAGCTGTTAAACATCAAAGATGACATGCTGCAATACTGACAAGATACTTAAATAATTCAAACATTTTAAAGCTGAAGAAACTTCTGTGAGTATCAGTGAACCTATTTAGAGGACTGGAAAACCTGACCTCAGAATAATGTTTGTATCACAAACTACCTGCAGCACAAAATAGAAGAGATTTCCGTTCACACTGGAAAACATAACACTGCATAAACATCAAAATGTTATCTCTGCTTCCTTTTCTGTATCTTTCAATATTTTGGTCTCTCCTCCTTCCAATCTCCAGAGATACTGCGTAGTAAATTATGTACCATATGGGATGAAGGGACGGTCACTCGGTGGATGCAGTAGGAAATGTTTCTCTCCTGATATCACACAGTACAAGTTCTCATAATGATCTTTATGTACTAGGATTGAGAAAAAAAGAGATGTGAAGAAAGAGAGAAAATCGTGTTATTTCCTTCTCTACATCAGAAACTATAGTAAGCTAAAAGTGTCAGCTTTGTCCTCTTATTATCAGGCTGCTTCCTCCTCTCGCAGCCCGTGGGAGTGGAAAGTAACAATATAATGTTGTAGCAAACACATTCGAGGAAGGAAAAGCCATCAGTGCCTTGCCTGACACAATGCACCCAGAGACTCAGCAGCAAGAGACTGCAGAAGTGCAGAAGAAAGAACGCAAAAAGTATGTTCGAGTAGAACCGCCTTGTCGGAGAAAATACACCATTCTACTGAGCCACTAACTCACAATGAACCTGCCTAAACCTCTGCTGAAAGCACACAGAAAGCAAATGGGGCCATTTGGTACATACAGGATGTCACAGCAGCTGCCTCCCCAAGCCAGAAATTCACAGCATCAGGCTTCTTCCCTGTATGGTTAGGGAACAGAGAAATGTTGTCAACAAAAAACAGAACCCGATGTGCCATGTTTAAAAGCATTTCGAATAATTTTCTGCCAACTTCTGCCCTAACTTCCTTCATAACTATGACAGGTTTCATTGCAAATAGCACTCTCTGAGCAACAGCAACCTCCTCCTACATTGTAGTGCCCATCAGACTTCATGACATAGCCTTATTAATCCCCAAATCGATGATTACAACCCTTTGTTTCCACTTTTTTAATCCCTAAGAGACCTCACAGAGAAACTGCAGCACATCTATATATGACTGCAAAAAGCAGGGGAGATCACAGGAAGTAATTTTCATTGACATTTTAAGGAAAGACATGCTGTAAAAATAGAAAATAACTAAAACAGAACAGCGTTTAACTAGAAACATCTGTAATTTTACCAAAGGGGCTGTGGGCTCTGTGTTGTTTCACTTGTTTGTTATGCTAGTTTTGCTAGCAACAGCATGAATCCCAGTCAAAACATGACTCTAAATCAGAGAAAAGCCACCATATGGAAAGCAGTGCTAGATGGCACTGTCACCATATTGCTTCAGTTGTGATGGTCCCAATACACACCGGAGATACTGATTCTGGAGTAATCCAAACCCGAAACTTGGACTACTGTATTATTAAGCATTTTACCACTCCTACTTTCTAAGAGGATGAAGCCAAACTGAGCTGTGTCATCCAGAAACAGAACAAACATTCACTATGTACTTACTATATACATACTATGCATGATCATTTTAAAGCTCCTTACAAAATATTTACTAAATATAAGAGAAACAGGTTTACCGAGTGCCTCACTCATCCATGGTATGTCAGGCTGCACATCACAGACAAGTTCAGGGAACTCCTCAGTGAGGTTTGAACACTGCTTCTGCACATAGAATACGTTGGGAGAGGTCACTTTCTTCTCCACAATGTCCAAAAAGTCCATGAAAGCCATTTGGCGCTCCTCTGGCATGACAAAACGGTCCTGAAACACCGCATCTGCATAACCATTTGGTGTTACTGCCACACTCACTACCTTGGGACCCACTACCTCCCTGCAAAATAAATCAAAGGTTTATAGCCAGACCTGCAACTGGCCCACTTATCGGACACTGGTTACTTTAAAAACAACATGTTTCACGGGCAGGAAAAACAATAAGCCTAGCTTTCCATGGATGCGTGTCTCTGGACTAGATTTTCTACTGTCTGGTAAGCACTCTTGCTCTGATTGCTCCCTGCTGTCAAGGCAACTGCAGTATCTTTTGCCTCTCTCACCTTCTGTCCAACACGCAAGCTCACACAGGAGCTCCTTCCTCCCCCATGCAGGCAGAGAGTCCTCTTCAGCCACTTCTTTTCACAAACCACGGCAGAGCTTGATGTTCTCACAGCCACTCAACCCAGGCCCATTCGGGTGGCCACACATTCAAAAGCAATCGAGGAGGGAGAAGGGGTGGACAGAGACTGACAAATACACCCATCACGAGGCTCTTCGTTCCCTAAGAAATCTGGCTTTAAACCCACAGATTTAGGTCTAACCCACAGATTTTAGGTCTAGCCATAAATCCCTTCTTAAAGCAGTTTTCTTTAAAAATCCAGTCATTAAAATGCTCATTTAAAAACAAAACAAACCCAAACAAAACAAACCCAAGGTGTACTCAGTCACAAACAAGTCAGTCCGTTTTTACAGCCCTACAGCCCCACTCCAACTGGGAGGCTACAGGGTGGAGCAGTGGCCAGAGCACTCGGACTGGGTTTTGATAGCCTGAGCTTGCTGGCTGCACCCAGCCAGAACACGCACCCCTCCGACTGCATCACAACCAGACTGGACAGTATGTTTGCAGGAAAAAAAAATCTACATACGTGTTTTAGACATGGTGGCAGGACTGAACACCTACATACAGAAGCATGGAGGAATAATTTTATGGATAAAAGCAAAGATTAATGAAGGCCTTTGACTCAGCTGAAACTGGCCACCCGCCCTGCTCCAAAGCTCGTTCATACCTGAGGTACGCTGAAGTCCATTTCTTCAGAGCCGGCCAGTGGGTGATGGCATTCTGAATTATACAAGGTTTGTTCGGACTCACCCATTCTCGATAAAACTCCAGCGGGGACGGAGGCCTGTCAAGATAGGGTACGGACTCCGTCCACCCCAGTTCTGTCCGGGCAAAGGAGAAACAGGTTTATTCCGTGTCCTGAGAGAAGGGCCCTCCGCTACCGCAACAACTGGCTCCCGACCCCACACACCGGCGCTGCACTGACAGCGAGGGGCGTCACCGCGGCTCCACAAATGGTTCCGTCAGAACCCGAAGGCTGTCAGGGAGGTTTTCCGTGCCTGACGGTACCTCGGCCCTCGCTCTGCTACTCTCGTGGTGCGAGCCGCCTCTCCCACGGGTGGCCACGCTGTGGGCCCGCAGGAGAGCCGGCACGACGGCCACACCTTGCCGGAGAGGTACCTCCGATGCGGAGGGGATACCGCAGGAAGATTTTTTGGAAGCTGGAGCAGTGCTTTGTTTTCCTGGTTTACACCAAGGAAAATAACCGGAAAGGGCTGTTTACTCCAGTTTCGTTTTCTTTTCGCAGCAGCCTTTCTGCTGCCGCTTCGCCAGGGAACCATTTGGCTGCAAACAAGAGTAGGAGCGTGGCTGCTCCGCTTCAACCCCCGCGGCCGCCATTTGCGGCCCAG